ACACACACACACACACATATACACACACACACAACAAAGTATGTTTAGATACACACCATCATGTGCTCCGTGGATAACATTGACAACTCCTTTTGGTAGACCTGCTTCGGCAGCTAGTTTAACCAATAACATAGTAGCACCCGGATCCCTTTCAGATGGTTTTATAACTGAAGTATTACCACAAACCGTTGCCAATGGAAACATCTAACGAGAAAAAAAAACAATACTGCTTTAATATTATAAAAGATATCCCATGTGAGTTTAATCCTATGCTTTGGCTATGTGAACCAATGTAACCGTGACGACTATTATGTGATTGATACGATAGGATACTAGAGATGAGACATGTTTCTTATACATTTCATTTCAGTCATGATATCAATCAAATTCTCTAAAACAGTATGCAGTTACAGTGGCCCCTTGCTAAGTTGCGGGTGTTGGGATCCAAGCAAAAACCGCAACTTATCGAGGGCCGCGACTTACCGAGGGACGTCGTGAAAGAGGGAGGTCGTGCATTGAAAAACATATAAAAAGCACATATAAACCCTCGGTTTAGTTAATTGATGTATCATCACATGTGTCAGGCAGTATTCGAATAAAATCATGATTATGTTTGCTGTAAACATTGCGTTGATTATTTTGTTTGTGTCTGATATTATGTGGGCCGCTTGCCGTTGCTTGCGACTTCGACGGTAACAGCTTCCAAAATAAACCAGTTTCATCGCAATTATAAACATGTTCGTCAAAATAACCACCTTCATAGATAATTTCTCTCAGTTTTTCGGGAAAAGTTCCGACAGCGTCAATGTTCCCAGATCGAGCTTCGCCTTGGATTGAGACTGCGTGTGTCGATAGCGCGTCTTCTTTGCCATCGCAAGAACCACCCAAAGTCGTCATATCTGAGTTGTAAGCTTTGCATTGGGTGATGGGACCAGATAGTGGAGTTCCGGCAGACCGTTCTTAAAGAAACGTAAACAGCTTTATCGGTGTCATCATTGTCGGACACTTTCGCTTGTTGTTCTGTTCAGTCCCGCCTCTTGGTCAACTTTGAAAACAAATTTACTTTTCATTTTTTACCCACCCACGAATAGTGGGCTCAACCACGTGCAACCCTTAACTTGGTTTGACACGGTCGATCGCCGTGAGTTTATGGCGTACGAACAGGCTGTATAGCTTTCGCTTTGACATGCTGCTCAATTGAGAAATAGAGATCAGAATTCTATGAATTCAACTCATTGTAGCGAGTTTTTGTAGAGGTATACCAAAATGGGACCGGCCAAGAAGTACGTACGGTCACTACTCGACACCCCTGTTGACCCCTTGAGTAAGGCCTCCGTCACCCATTGCGTCTCAGCAATTGACGGACAGTAGGTGTTAAGTTGTCTCTTTAACGGTTAGTTAAAAACACTATACCACGAAACATTAGTCTTTGTACTTCAAAACTGCTGTCAAAAAACAATAGACATTTTGGGAGCCATCCAAGTACCTGCGACTTAGCCGAATCGCGACTTACCGAGGCGCGACTTAGCGAGGGGACACTGTATATTAGTGTAATATTATTATATTAGTGTAGTGTTTAACAATTTGATGAAACTAAATGTAACTCTGAATATGCTGTAGGAATGGGTCTATAGGCAATAACAAACAAAAATAATTAACATTGACTTTCGTGTGAGATGTCAATCTTCTTATTTAGACAAGTAAATTATTTCTTGGTGAAATCAACAGAACATGGGTTATCGAAAACAAATCTGCACTCATTCGAACATTTCCTGTATACCAGGTCAACTACGTCACCAATTTAGGATTATTGACATTGAAATGAACACTTTCCTTTGTTAAACTGAACATAGAAGCGTTACAAGGGAGTGATGGGAAACTATTTTCTAAACATTTCAAGTTGTTCTCTTACTAAATTATTACAGTACTACAAGTTGGAAAAATATAAGTTCTTCATGAGAATAGCACAAAGTATGCACTCAGCATAAAAGGCTATATAATTGGTGAATACAATCTCTGTACTGTCTTTGTGCATACATTCTGGTATGCTATTGACAACTTCATACTACTTACCCAAAGTGGAATCATGGCTGGGAAATTGAATCTACAGAAAAAAGCAATGAGTGAGAAAACTGAACAGAAGTTAAGATTGTGAGTTGTTACACAGGGTATAGAATTAGCCATTACAGTTTTTAAACCTAATTTAATTTGAAATTGTCCCATGAAAATTCAAATATTTTTTGACATAAAGTTGATGCCAAAGTGATGTCCATTGTCAAGTTTAGTTTTATTCCAGTATGTGATTTCAAAATAAAATATTGTAACCTGGAACATTTTGCAAACTTATTTCAGGAAGAAATAAGTATTCATTGACTTACGGTGTGATACCAGCGGTGACTCCAAGAGGAATTCTATACGAATACAAGTCCATGTCTTTTGATATCCCTGGTAAAGTTTCACCAAGTTGTAAAGAAGTAATACCACAAGCATGTTCTACCACCTCTGTAATCAAATATAAACAGATTCAACTATTGACCACATTGTCTTCAGCCATGTGTTGAATTGTCTATGAACATTGCATTTGATCCACACACATATACCCTGTAATGCATAGTGTGGGACCTACAGCAGGGTTCATACAACATGAAATTATATATTTTTTTCACACCTTTTTAGGGATTGAACCACCTAGTGCCAGTAATGTCTTTCTACTTGTGTCTGTCAGTTCATAAAACAATACAACAGGACAATAGTGATGTTAACCATAATAGAATAAATGAATCAACTTACGTAATCCTCTAGCTACGTCACCTTCAGCATCAGCTAGTGTTTTACCTTGCTCTAGAGTAATCAAAGCAGCCAGTTCTTTCTGCAATTAACAAATTAATATGCCCTTTATTAATGAAGCAATTCAACCAATCCTTGTGTTTGGATTTATAAATTAAGTCAGCCTTCTCAATCAGAATTTGAAATGATACAAGTTACATGATGTACTGTGAAACTGCTATAATTTCAAAGGAGACAAATTTACTCAAATTTCGTCAGTCAGTGCAAATTGTGAAAATATTTAGCAATGACAATTCTTGCCTCCAACAGTCATTTTCACAAACATCTTTTACTTTATGAAAATCTTGAAATTGGTGTAAATTTCTACAAGTGAAAATTTATAGTGTAAAGTTTGATTGCAATCAGTCAAGGCATGTCAGATATCGCTCATGAATAACATTCTTTAAAACATTAAGGCCACTGGTCTGCATTTTTGAATCTGATTTTAAAATATAAAATACCTGGAATCAATCATCATGATATTCAGTGAATGTACAGAAGCATGGGCAAACACATGGGAATATGCATGTCCCCATCCCATTTTCAGTCTTCGTCTTCTTATAAAAATCAACGTTATTCAATGTAAAAATAAATGCTTTAAATTATGTCAATACTGTCCAAGTCAGAAAAGTTAGATATTACTTACAACATTTTCTTTGATAAGGCTTTGAAATTTAAACATGACTTGCTGCCTTGCAAGAATTGATGTGTCAGACCATGCAGGAAATGCTTCTGATGCAGCATTCACAGCTCGTTCCATCTCAGCCTGAGTACTCTTAGGAACTCTGGTGACCACCTCATTGGTAGCAGGGTTGTGAAGATCAATCCAATCTTTGGTTTGAGATTCCACAAACTCATTATTAATGAAAAGTTTGGTGGTGGGCTGGAAAACAAGATGTTAGAAATGATTAGTCTAAGTAGAGTAAAAATGTAAAAGATGAAACTTGCACTTAAGTTCAAGGCTAAAATTTGAACTGGGTTTTAAATTCACTGAGGGAGAAAATGATAAATTAAAACAAACAATATGACTAAGCTCATTAGTTCAAGGATGACACTATGAATTTCAAATCCTGAAAACGTGTCAGAAATGCCAAAACAGTGAATGTTGATATAGGATATACACTCTAAGATAAGCAACTGCAACTAACATCAAATCAACACGATTGGACATCCTATGTGACATCCATTTTACAGGTTATGCATGTTGTACCAGGGTTCTTTTCAAAGTGAGCCTCCCAAAGCACTATAGAGTTGGGAGGGGGGGGGGGATTTATAATATTGAATAAACAATAGAGTTGAATCATAATCAACAATGATTACCACATTGTATTATTATGCAAATATCCTGGGACTAATACTGGTTGTAGGCGTTTTGAATATGTGAGAGTGTTCCATATGTGTTTCTTATTATAGTAACATGTCACACATTCCATTAGGTTGCCCAACCCTTTGAGTGGCAATGTTTGGCACCATTGATTTTGTTACGGTCTGCTTCTTCTCAATTGAATTGTTGTAGAATTGATAAACCTTTTGGTCAAAAATAAAAACAATATCTGAAAAAGTATGAATCAAAATGGTGATAAAATTTAATGACAATCTCACAAAATGTGAATTTTTGTACTAAATTTTTGGTGGGAAAAATATCTTTCAGTCAGATAGTTAACATTTTCCAAATCATGGCAGTTTGACGCAATTTTCATCTAAACTTTCTTCAACTGCAGTATTTGGTAACACTATGGCAGGTTCACAATAGTTAATCTTAGTAATCAACTAGTTCATTTCATTCCTTCAAGATACTTACTGTGCCAGAGCTGTATGGTCTCAGAGAGACTTGCAAAGCATTATAGATCTAGAACAGAAAACAATATCTGATAAGTTACAAATAACAAAAAGACAGTCAAATCAGTATTTATTTTGGTATTGGTGGGTGATCATGATTGGTCATCCAGTTCGAATAATAGGACTGTCTATAATGTTTTTATTTTGGTATCGTTTGGTATCATGAAGAATCATCCAGTAGTTGTCCATCATGTTACAGTACGAGAGAAATAGCACAGTACAACCATTCTGATGCACAATCCTTTGTGGTCAAATTTTGGACACCAGCACTGGACCAGAATGGAGCTGTTTTTAGTATGTAGGAATCCAGTATGAAATCTAAAATATAAACCATGGTTTAGTAGAAAATCTAAGACCAAAATAATATTTAAATAAAAGATACTGTATATGATAAATACAAATTTATTAATACAGCAAAAATGTGGTACATCATGTCAATTTATACTCTACAATTGTTACACATTCCATTATGTTGTATATAATAGAAGCTTGGTTTAGTCAACAGCTGTTCAGTGAAAATATTATGTCTAAGAAAATTTAAAGTTTACTATTCATAGTTACCAATCACTTTAATCTTGGGATTACACATTTAGGGTTTACGATGATGATATGGCACCTATTTTAGGGAATCAACAGTGTCGGTTCTCATCGAGCAACAAAATAAAAATGTAGCAACTTTGTCTTGTAAACCTACACTTTTTCAGTTTAATTATTCACAAGTTATTTAAGCAGTTGTGACATTCTAATGAACATGCTATTAAATACAAAACACTTCATTTTGGAGGTGGATCGTCCCAATTACGAGAAGAAAAAGTTGCTACATTTCTTTTATTTTGCCAAAACCTTTGATGGCGTTCCAACAATTACTTAAATTAACTATAGCTCGAGTATCAACCGACGCACAGCTGAGGTCGATGCGACGGCGTACTGTCCGAGTGCATACTTTGTGGTATCCTCGTAATAACCTTATTATTATACATCTTTTCCTCCCAATGATACCGGTACATCACAGAGATGCCGAAATCCAAAATGTTTAGAACAGTATCAGCAAACTTCTTTGTGTGGAGTCTGGTCAAACCCTGGTGGCAGCCATGTTTGTTTTTATTATTAGAGGATGCTTATGCGCGTAATTTTTCCATATTTGGAATTGGCATTTCCTAATGGCATTACGGTGACAGATGTATAATAATATATTATGATAACAAACCTTTCGAAAAAAACAAAATTGTGCATTATGAACATATCAACAGATAAGTGCTAATTCCAGGATTATATCCACAAATATTTAGGCATTGGTGGAGAACAGCATACTTTTATGGGGCGGGGGCACTGATAGGTGGTGAAACAAAATCAATTTTAGTTATATTAAATTATGTCCCACTAGAGGAGGCTGGAATTCTAAAGAATGATGGTACCTGTTTCTATCCTGAATTTAATTTATTGAGTCCTATAGCATCCATTATAATATTCTGAATGAGGAACCTTATGAACAGTGCATTGCAACACAAACCATTTTTTTTTTACATATTTATATTTTTTAATATTTTTAACTTCTAATGCTAAATGTCACATGTTCATTGCATACGATTTTAGACTACTGACTTCTTAGTCAATTTTTTTTGGTGAATTATCCAACAAAAATGTTCATTTACTTCCGTTGATGCCCTGGATGTACAAAAATCCATAATTATGACTAAATAGTGGCATTTTTTATTAATCTTACATACATGCTAACAATTGTTATTTTTTATTGGTTACGTACAATTTTTTGATATTATCAAGATGTGGTTCTGCCCTATTTGCTGAACATCAATGGTACTGTGACTGATTTATTTTTATTTAAACTGAGCTGGATCCTGAAAGTTCCTGCCATGGAAGTTTTGGTCACTATTGGTCACCCTGGAAGGGTCCGCCAGAGAAGTTTTGGCCACACCTGTTTCATATCTTGACGAGTTTTTGCAGTTATGTTTACTGGATATTTATATTTACTGATTATTTACTAACAAGTTTATAACAAACTCATGCACTGTACTCAAACCAACTTTGTTGACATTATTTCTTTACAAAAATGTTTTAGGTATGTTTTTTGTTTTTTTGCCTAAAATAAGAAAAAAATTTAAAACTGATTCACGAACTCCAGGTGCTCGAAAATGATCATCACTTTCACGCAGTCCCTCTTTCACCAAATCATGTACATTTGTACTATGTACTGCCCACTACGCACGCTAACATCACGCTAACATCACGGAGGTAACCAAGCATAAAATTGTTTTTAACTTAAATGATATGAATTTATACACGTGTTACGATACTGGTGGGATAGTTGATGCACAGAATAAGATGAATTTGATGCTAAAGAACGGTACTGGCTTTTGGCAATCGCGACAATGATTGATGTCCTAAGTAATGCCGTTTACAGGTCACGTACTCAATGAACTTCTGCCTGCAGAGTAAACTGGTAGAACATAGCTTGCAAGGAAAAGGTCGCCTTCATACAAGCTTGAATGATATGAAAAATAAAAATATGCTTTTGTTTCTCTACCTTGGGTCTGAGATAAACAGTGCGCACAAGCCCAGCCATGATTATCGAAGCCTACTGTCCAGAGGATTCTCGCAAAGAGAAATACCCCCTAACACGGTGTTCACAAGATCATGCCCTCAAATATAAACCTATCTGACAAAGACATTCTTATATTAATTAGAAAACGGCAACTATATTGTGACTATATATAATTACATAATTACTGTTCATACAATTTAGAATGTTGTTGAGTAACTGCCTATTTTTTGGTTTATTCTCGAGGGAAACAAATTCAGCCCATATTGCTAGTTTTGAATAAGATAATGTGCCTTAAACGAGCCCCCAAGAGCATAACCACGTGACCATTTTAGACAGGGAAAATGGCGTCGCCGAGTGCGGGTAATCCGAAATTTGTTGTTTTCATAATCATTTATTTTTTTCTTTGTTTTAAACTATTTTAATACAAGTGTACCACTGTTTATTGATACACTGTTAATCCAAATTATCTTATCGAACTTTTGTTTTCTTCGTGATTATAGTATGACTTGTAATACGATTTTCATAGTCACAGTTGTGTGCATTTCCACGATTATATGTCTATTTCGCTATCGGTTAATCGGCATCAGGCGACTGGAGGCCGGTGGTGATAATCGCAAAAAGGTCAACATACATGCCAATGTGCTCGCAACGTTTCCATGGTCTGTATGTATTTAGCCGTTACAATGTTTTAGTTGTTGTTTTTACCATTAAAGACACAACAATGGTGCCGTGGGCTGCTATTGTTGTTGACAACTTGAGGTGGCAGTATATGATCGGAAATATCTATGAATAATACTGTGGCTAGGGTGGTCTGGAGCATTTTATGAAAAATTGTTATGTTTAAATTAATTAAAAAGAAAAGGGCCGACATTTGCATAAAGGCGAGCGTATGTGAACTCGCTATTTTTCATGAAGGCATGAACACTGTATACAAAATATGTTTTTGAAATTCCATGTCTTATCCCTTGGCTATATTATCGCAATTTTTTTGTCACCTAGGTGATTTACCATCCAAATTTTGGTTTCCCCTGGTATCTCTAGTAAATTTATTATTTCGTATTAATCCTCAATTATAAAAAACAAAAACGAAGAAGCTTGTTTTTTAACACGGTGGATAAGACTTAATTTTAAAGGTAGCAGGCCATCAAGCGATGTCAAGAAACGTTGATTTGTGATGAATACAGATTATGATGTGTTCAAATAAAGCATGCTACTATGTCAATCCAAAAGTGGATGTCCTGTTACGTGTATCTTCAACAATTGTAGCTATTTTTATGCCACAGTACATAAAGAAGTTTTTTTAAGAATCAAGAGAATTGATGAGTTGATAGCTGTCTGGAATACTGAATAGTTGTATTTAAGGTGCATTTGGAGTATCCCTGGGTGTAATGAGATCAATTTGTGTCTTGGCTCTTTATTGACACTGGCAACTGACTTTTAGTTTTTTTATACTTCTCTCATGTTTGCATTTTGTAGTATTTCAGTCAGACACCCACAAGTAATATGACCAAAGATTGAGGATTTATTTTAAACTTGTTAACAATATTTTTTGTGTATATCACCACGTTTGGGTTTAATATAATCCAACAAGCATTAGGTATTGCAACAATTTTTATTTAAAAATCATTTGATTCATCAGATAATTGAAGATGATTTCAAATTCGTACAACTAAGAAATGATTTATTTTCCCATTGCAGCTGCTGATTTGGAGCAAACATTATTAAGTTTAGAAAAGTTGGATAGATCATCTCCAGAACTGTGGCCGGAGCAAAGTAAGTGTACAATAATATGTTCATTGGAGTTGGCTGAATTTCTTTGTATCATGAAACCATTGGATTTGAATTAATTGAACCCTACAGAATATGAGGTTGTGTACTTTATTGTCAACTATCTGCCAAATTAGGAATATTTATTCTACTCTGTATAACAGAAGAGCCCAGTATGTGCGAGATAATGCACTACCGTATTTATCCAGGTATAAGCCCAAAGTCCTGAACATGCAAAATTGCCCCAAAATAGGGTCGGGCGTTTGCCAGAAGATCCCCGGCAAAAAAAATGAAAATTCGCGAAAATTGACAACACGCAGATCAAACTGCGGCAGGGAGTAGAATGGCAAACGAAAACATGCAATGGAAATAAATGAACAATATGCAACACTAGAAGTAAAACAAAAATAATGTATTGCTTATAATGTGACAAATAAACCAGAAATAATACAAATCAACAGTGAGGAATCATTTGAATTAGGATTTTCCCGCCGACAAACACGCCCAATACGCGTGAACTCAAAATGAATTAAAATGTCAGGGGTTAAACTGCGTAACATGATTTCCGGTCTCGACAAATTACGAATCAACTGTCATACAAGATCAATAATAATATACAAATTTACACAGTAAAAATTCATAGCTGTTTGGAAAACTTCTCAGATCTTTATTTGTACGTTCATTGCCATTTTCGTCAAACTCAAAACCCTCAAAGTCCAAGTCGGCGTCACTGTAGCCGTCGTCAACTTCTTCCTGAAGTTCGTCGATATCGTCCCACACAATTTGTACTTAGCAATTTTAATCCACGGATTTCGCAGTCTGTCAGCTTGGCACTCTAATCACAATAAAGAGACAAAAAAATGGGGTCGCTCTGCTGCGATGGCACACGATGCTTTTGTTTACAGTCTGGCAATCATCTTTGACCTTTATGCATCTGCTTTACTGATTGGCTAAGAATGACATCACTACTTACTAGTAGTGATAAAGGTCAAATCATAAAGGTCAAATCGTGACATTGTTTTCTTATCAGACTCGACGCTTATCAGCCACGGTGAAAGTTATCATTCAGAAACTTCCGGCGGTTGGAATGTCTCACTATATGGATATCGCGGTGGACTTGAAATAGGAAGTTTTTTTTTTATCCAACGACAGAAGAATAGTTTTCATGACAGAAATGCAATAGCGGTGATAAAAGATGGTAAAAATTGCTGGCCCCAGTTATGGATTCGCAAGCTGCTAGCAAATATTTTATGAAGCCCAAATAACGTGATTTCAACCATTCTCTCAGGTACAGGTTGCTACAATATTGCAACATTGGTTTCATTGTCGATGACGTTAAAGCCGAACGAGTGCGACACTTGCTTAGCGGCTCTCCTTATATGATTTGCTTTAATCGTTTGTAAGGAAGCACGACAAACCAAACGGCTGGCCCTATTCAGAGCCACGACATATTTCAAAAAAAGAACTTTAATATATATTTTTATAGACTTGCTGTCTGTTATGATTCTGAAAAAAATCAGCGGTGAACGTGCTGCTCTGAAGGCAGAAAGCTGTCACAGCTATTTCGCATTCACCCCTTGTTTTACGCAATTTAATATTTAAAGAATTTTTATAAGCATCACGACAGACTTCAAGAAAGTTAACTGTTAATACAACCACAGTCAACGAATAGAAAATAGTTTTTTTTTATTTTTTGTGTAGAAAAAGACCCCCTGGGCGTGTGCCCGGATATGAACTCAACTTCTTTATTTTGACAAAAGTGGGGGGTGGGCGTTTGTCCAGGCGTGGGCTCTTACCCAGATAAGTACGGTATATGGGTTTATATAAATTAGCAAAAAAGTTTAGGAATTTGCTGAAAAAAATGTTAATTTCATTAATACTAATTCCGTCAATTAATATGCATATTTTCAATGTAACAATGTTTTATTTTTCAGTTCCAGGAGTGTCAGAATTTGCAGCTTTCAAAAGTGTAAGTCTCATTTGTAAAACATACTTTAAAAACTAGGGAACAAATGAATTTTGCTTTTGCATAAAA